TTTTTCACCACGTACCTCTAGAAGTGATTATTCTTCAAAAGGGCCGCCGCCGATACCTATAAATAAAGATATATGCTAGGTTCTTAAAAAATTATACCCAATCAAGTGAAGCAGAGTGTATATAAGTACTACAAACATATGTACATATGTTCTTTGCAAAGACTCTACCCTTGTATAACGTAACGGATTTTATGCCCAATGTCAAATGCTTTAAATCGTGTGAATGTCTTAACGAAACGTTTTTCGTTATGAGCAAACTCAACCCTTCTCAACGGATGGGAATGAAATTGAAACGATAGCCAGACGACTAACAAATTTATGCGCTTATGTATTGTATTAATTCATTTGGTTTGCCAGTTTTCGTTTACCTGTTTTATCTGTACATGCATAAATCCGTAAGGTTACAAACTTATGTATGTTTGTATGTACATTTGTACGTACATACATATATACAAATGTATAGGCATAGGTAAAGTTATTATGTACAAGTTCCATCGTTTACTAGCAGCTGGATTTACTCATTACGCTAAAATGAAGTTCAATGGTCATTGTATTTCTATGCGTGTGGATGAGGATGTTTCTGGTTCCCAGGATGGTTTAACGTAAGTACGTGCCTTAATTTCCGGACCTGTCTACCTGGCCGTATCAAGTACTCGAATAGACTTTTCGATTTGAATGTTAGTTGAAAAAATCCACCCCTCGCAACAATCATTTTTTAAGCCGTACATAAAAATAGACGCCTCGAAACGTTCAGTGAAAGAGTATCCTTTCACTACTTCCTTTATGGAAACATTATACTGAAGTTCTTCCTCGAAGAGAAGCGAAATTCAGATGTAGTCCGTTTTTTTCGAGAATGCTTGGCTACGTCCACAACCGTAGATAAGTTTATCCACAAACTTTATACCCTCAAACTTAAAACACTTTGCGAAGCATTGTCCTTAATAAAGATATTATTGTGTAACATATGCTAAATGACATTCAAACTTTTTGTTGGAGCTGATTTGACCCGCCTCGTAATCGCAATGCATGCTGTCCTTTGTACCTACCCAACACATTCCCATGGTAGTCTGAACTGAGTTGTTGTTCAGTCCAATTCTAAATATTTTCGAGAGTTTTCTGCCAGCAGATTTTATTTTCCGCAGGAGTAAAATCCTCCATCTGTTGCCATGCTGCGAAGAGAATTTTCCCTTAATTAAGAAAGAGAAAATTTCGAGCTTCGTACCAAATGCTTTGCACAAATTCAGGTGTATTTCTGTATAAGAGATATTTTGTTTTTGATAGGAAGAAAGACTACATGCTCAAGAGCAGAGTAATGAACGCGATCATAGGCACAGGATATTTATTAAGTAATGTTGGAAAAGGATGTAGAGGAGAGAGCTAAGAAAATCCCCTAGCAGCATACTACACGTGAATAATGACCTTGGAAATCAATGGGGACTATCTCCGCACGGCACCTACGGTATGTACATCACAGTTATTAGACCAATTACAACCCGCGCCTCCTTAGTATGGTGAAGGGTTCTAGACAAAGGGAATAACAGGAAAATAATAGGAAAAGTGTAAAGACTCGCAAGCCTTGGCATATCGCGGGAGCAGTGAGTAGCGCACCTCAGGAAGGGCACGGCCGCACAGAGTGCCCTCAGGCTCAGAGAGGCAAACAATTTTTGGCATGCGGCAACACTGATTCAAATAAAATGGGGTCGGCTCAATGGAATTAAAGCTGACATAGAAGCCCGCACTTATTACATTACGCATTTTTCGGGACTTCAATACTAAAATACCTATTAGGTTCCCGACCAGAGAAGAATTCGATACAGTACTGCCAGTAGCAGTAGTAGTAGGTCCCCGGAAGGGTATGAGTCGGCTGATGAGAAGAAGCAGATATCTTCGTACTACTACCGTTTAGTAAGTACACCGTGGCCGCAACTAATGACTTGTGAAACAAACGGGAAGACTGTGAGACCACAAGGATATTATGGACGCGACTTTGTAGGAAAAAGACGAGGGACGTACTGAAACTCAAGAAACTAAGAGTCTTTAGCGGTGTCACCACAAGACACTCTAAGTACTATAGCACCAATGCTTCATTGATGGCGAATACCAATAAGTACTATCTGCAGAAGCTGCCGGTATGAGGATGACGAAGAGTCAATTGACCCCTTTCTGTGTCGATGTCCGGGTCAACAGTCGAAGCGCCTCAAACACTTGGCATCACGCTTCTTCGACAGTCTGTACGAGATAGCGGAGATGGAACTTTTGGATCTCCTCGGCTTCATTAGGGATAGCAATTTGTTCAGTAGAATAATGACTTGTAAGTACTTGACTACTCTCTCGGTTATGGGTACATGTCTCCGCCTGACACTCGCTTGAATAGGGCACTCACAACCGTCAATGTATGGAGCCTAACCTAAACTAGACAATGCATTGAAGCCTTTACACATATGCAGGCTTGACCATTAACTAGATATATGATGTAAGAACAAGTAATAAATATCCCATTTTACCAGATTTCAAAAATGTACCAAATCTGAAAGTTATGCACCAGTGTAAAAAACTGCAAAAATGGTTACCATTCGGCCCTGAAACTGGAATATTTAATGGCTACCGGCTAGTTATAGCCAAAGACCAGTGGTGGATCCAGCGGGGGGGTTTCGGGTGTTAAACTACGTGTATACGAAAATGACCTTTATGTAAATACAATAATGAAAGTAAAGGTGAGTACGTACATAGATAAAGAAACGGATATTACATGCGCCCCACGCTTTTCATTTTCAATTTCATAGATTGTTT